CCCCCCTTTTTCAGGCTTTTACATACCTGAAGGTGGTTTTGTTTTGTTTGGGATATACAGACACAAACATTTGCAAATATATGTAGAAGCCAATCACCGTTCCAAGGTGATTCTGCAGAGAGGGGATCTTCTCTAATCTATACAGCTACCAACATTGGGACATACAGTTGTAAGAAAAATGATGTGATCCCCTAGGAAATTGCCGGAGTCTGGTATCAGTGGCATCTGTGAGTCAGCAGACATTTATTTTTGCCGTGACTGGGATGTACAGTGTGAATGGCTGGGGTAGATCCCACGTCAAGGGCCTATGAAACCTTTAACAACTAAAGGTGCCCATGCGCTCTGCGATCATCGCTTGATTTCAGAACGAAATCGTTTTTTTGTACAATAATCGCTGAGGTGATGGGAAGTCAACGATCACAATTAGCGTACAACTGGCTGAATTAAGTCTATTGGGCAGAGTAGAAAACTTTTTTCGAATTGTACAAAAAAAAAAAAAATCGCAACATGAACATGCGCAAACTAAAATCTTTTCTGTTGATCGAAGATATTGGGCCAGTTAGTATTGCTGACAAATGATTATCGAAATCTACACTGGCCTGTGCATGATGGGCTATTTGAGGGAAAAATTAACGCGGGTGCGATGATGGGACAAAATAAATTGAACGATAATTGTAAGGTGTATGGCCAACTTAACATAAAGTAATCCTTTTTAAGTGGAATTGCTATCATGACTTATTCTCTCCATTTTATATTGAAAGTTAATATACTTCACCTTCCGGGCTCTGTAAGGCAAAAAGCTGCAATGTGTTCTCCGGATGCCAGCTTAGGCAGGTATTTTGCTTTCTGCTCATCATTACCAGCAATCAATAGTCCCTGAAAAATAAAATGAAAAGTCTACAAATCTTCCCAATTAATAAAGTCCAATTGATGCAGCATTATAAAACCGAACCCATTTTATGAGGAGAGACAATGTAGAGGATAATTATCTTTGCTAAAAGGGCTCATTGTAAACATGAAGGTTAAACAGAACAAGGACCCACAATAAAGCAAAAACTACCCACATACACGTGATAACAATTCCTATGGGCTGTCCATATGAACAGTCTTCATATGTCTATGGGTTGTGGAACCATTTTATACCGATCATTGTACAAGGGACTAGCCAATGGGAGAGCTGGACTTTTCCAAGTGACCTTTGGTGCTTTTCCCAAAAAAAAGGATCATACACTCAAATGTTCAGACCGCCATCTGTCATCAATTGCTAGCTTAGTAAGTAGATCCTTCAGTCACTAATTGGATGGTTCATTTTTAATGGTGAATTTTTCATATTAAATAACAGAATGGTAGCTGGATTTAGGACACTTGGACAGCGACTGACACGGATTAATGTCACTGGATTTTTTCTCAGCTCCCAACTCAGCATTGAGCGGGCTACTGCATTAAGGTTACATAATGCACACAGCCGGACTGCAGCCAGGAGGGATCCAGACAATACTGCTGGGATCCACCCCGCTGCCTGATTGACAACTTGCTCTGCCTCTCTAGAGCCAGAGCCAGCTGTGCCCGCCCCTTCCAGTCTGTCCCTCCACTGAGAGGTGGAGGAACAGAGGGGATCCCTGCGGGGAGCAGTGACGGACAGTCACCGCTCTCTGCAAGCAGAAGAATGTGAGCTCAGCACTTAATGTATAGAGCCGATGTGTAACACCCGCAGTGTCACACACCGGCTCTAAATATTGGAGAGTGTATATTTTACTCTCCCAAATCTTCTCCTTTAACCATGCATGCACCAAAAAAAAGAAAACTGCTCAAGTCAGAAAGAATTCCCCTTGCTGGTGGATTTCTGATATTTTACCATTCATCCAAATAGTCAGAATCTGCCCATCGGAAATGACTGACATGACTGGTTTTCTGCTCTAGTATCTATAGATTTTACAAGTCAGGTGCCTGTACCTTTAGTCCTATAGCCTGGTGAGCAGCCAGAGTCACTGCGATTGCACCGTCCAATGAGGTGATCTCTCCCAATCGAGCATACATAGTGTTGGATAACCCAAGTCCTCCTGCAAGGAGAAATGTCAAACTTGTCATCTTCACCAAGAATCACATACATGTCAAAAAAAATTAAAGGTTTTTTAAACCCAACCCGAAAAAACTTTAAAACATGTCCACGTCTGTGGTTAAATATCTGCTGTCTATGTATGTTAGGTTTTATTTAACCCCTTCATGACTGAGGCCTTTTTTTTCCTTCATTTTTTTGCACCCATGTTTTATTCCACATTTTAGGCCTGAAAATTACTTAAAACCCCCAAACATTATATATTTTCGAAAAGCCAAGACCCTATAGAATAAAATGGTGGCAGTTGCAAATTTTTATGTTGCACGATATTAGCGCAACTCCTTATAAAACCCCAAACTTTTGTGAAAAATGTACTTGAATGCCCCAAAACACAATAAAATACCCATTTGTTTAATACAATATAAAAGATGAGGTTACAACGAGTACATAGATACCCAACATGTCCAGGTTACAAATTGTGTGCATCCTAGAAACGGCGACAAACTTCAGTACCCCAAAAAGTCTATAGATGACGCATTAGAAGCCCCCACAGGTCATCAATTTAGAGATACCAAAAAATACTGGCCCTAGAATTATTGCTCTAACTCCAGGTTGCCTCCAGATACCCAACATGTGTAGCGCGTGCGTCGTTTTCATACATAGGCACACCACCCGACGCGTGCTTACGTGGCGACGCATGTGCTTGCAGGGGCGGGGGAATTTAAAACATTTTTTTAATTATTGTTAGATTTTAAAAACTGTAATTTTTTTATTTTTACTTTGATTGCTATCACATAGGGGGGCTTACAAGCCCCCCATGTGATAGCAGATGGCGGTGACAGGTACTCTTTAAGGTGATGCTGGTGGTCCAAAAGACCCCAAGTGTCACCTTTACACTCCAAATAAGATATTGAAGTGCAGATCGCACTTCAATAGCTTGTAGCACTGACAGCTATGGTACCAGAAGTGATGCAATATGCATCTTATATCTAGCCAGTTGTCGTATTTTCACATGTGAAGCATTATATCACTTTTATCTGTGCTGCACGACGCCGGTTTATGGTACTTAACCTTCCTAGCGGTATTCCCGAGTGTAGCTAGGGGTTACTTTTCCATACCATAAGCTGTAACCCCGAGCTACACTCGGGAATGCTGCATAGCATTTACTTACCTTGTCCCTCGAGCCGTGTTCTCCGGCCGATGCAGGCATCCGCCTTCCGGGTTCCGTCCCTTGCGAGTGAACGCGTTGCAGGGGGGCGGGATATTTAAAAAAAAATTCGGGAAAAAAATAGAACGAAAAATTACACGAAAAAAAAGAAAAAATCATACCGCCAGGGAGGTTAAAGTGACTCTGTCATGTGAAAAGTATGTAGGCTGCCAATGCTGAGCTCTCCTTTGAGAATGTTAGGACACATTGAAGCCGAAAAATTAGCATCACAGCAAGGGAACCGCCCTGGATCAAGTATAAAAATTTAATAATGTTGACTTTTGACAGTCATTTATAGCAAGTATGTTGCACATATGCAACTCAAAAAAGTATTAACTGGCCCCCTTTTGAAACTAGCTGCAATGGCAGCTCCCTTAGTCTTTATCATGACAGAGTCCCTTTAAAGGACAACTGTATCTTTAGTTCCCCCCACTTCGAGAATGCAGCCCACCTGATACATACTTCATCTCAGTTCAAGCAATATTCACTGTGTGAGCCTGCCCAGCACTAGTCTTTCCTCTGAAAACATCCCCATTGGTTCTCCTCTTCTTCCTTCAGCAGGGTATGGCTCTCTCTGGAATAAAAGGGGCCACTGTGTTTATGTTCACTAAGAGGACCTGGCAGGGACTTTTTCGCCAGAAAGGTTGTGCAGTTCTAGGCTGGTATCAGCCTCTTAGAGTCCCTGTAAAGCAGATTTCAGACTGAGGGAGGAAGAGGCACCTTAAGGAGTCAATCAGTAGTGTTGCAGTGCAAGAAGCATTCTGAAAGGAGGAGAGAGCAGAGAGAAGAACCTATCAGTCTGCTGCTTCTCTTTTCACTGTTACAGAATGGCTAAACTGTGATAACAGATACACAAATCCATCGGCAGCTAAAACAGCTCCCTTAAATGTATTTCATCGGTGTATTCAGCGGTTTGCCTGGAGTTCAGCTTTAAAGCCAAAGCCAATCTTAAGTTTTAGGGCAAAAGCTGCATAATAATAATAATAAAAAATGGTGTAAGTTCTCAGTGTTTTACCATTATTTATCTTTGTAAAGCGGCTCCACTGAGAGAAGAACACTCAGGGGGATTGTATCAAAACTGGAGCAGACAGAATCTGGAGCAGATGTCCATGGCAACCAATCAGCTTCTCTCTTCAGTGTGTTCAGTTAAGCTTTGAAAATGAAAGAAAGAGAGAAGCTGACTTGTTGCCATGGACAACTGCTCAAGACCCTTCCTGCTGCAGTTTGATGAATTCCCCCCTCTGTGGTGCGCACTAAGCTGCAGAGAAGGGCCGGAAGTGTCTTTGGGAAGACGTAGTCTCTCTGCAGCAGCCAATAGTGGATCACAGAACTCCAGCCAAGTTGCTAAAATATAGTTCTATATCCTGCCATAGAATTTGTAATTACCGTGTGTTTAAAAATTGTTGTGAACCAGACACCCCTGCTGAACAGCACACCCAGGCCCTTAACCTCTAGCGCAGCACTGCTTTGCCAAGAATACATCCAATAGTCATAATTGGTTCAGAGTGCAAACCTTCCCTCTTCCAGTTTAAGTGTTGCAGTGTCAGATCACCAGATTAGTCAAATGTGGTACTTTGACAAGTTGCATGTGAAAACATCTTTCATGTTTACATAACCAAATCATTTACATATCTGCATGTTTTATCCTGAGATTCAGCCAACACTTACCATATTCTTCAGGAATCTGCATGCCAAACAGGCCAAGGTCCTTCAGCCCTTTCAAAGTCTCCGGTGGAATTTTAGCATTGTGATCAATTGCTTTAGAATCCACTGGAAAAAAAACACACACAAGATTACATGATTATACTCAACTCACACACCCAGTTTTATGGCAGTCTTCAGAAAAAAATGAATTTGTAGAAATGTCACCAGCACACCAATGTTTCAAAGAAATAAGCAAAAGTTCATTTATTGAAGGAGCATCACCATTCAAAAACATTTTGAATGGCGATGTTCCTTCAATAAATGAAATTTGACTTATCTCATTGAAACATTGGTGTGCTGGTGACATTTCTACAAATTCAGCTTCTTTACGGTGCCATCCGTGATCACTGCAAGCACCCACCTGTCTACCAGGTTACTCTTATCCGGTAAGGATTGCAACAAGACATTCGTTCTAATTCAGAAAAAAATGAACACATTTAAGGGATAGCATCTACAGGCAGTACCCAGGTTACGTACAAGATAGGGACTGTGGGTTTGTACTTAAGTTGCATTTGTATGTAAGTCGGAACAGGTACATTTAACTCCAGCCAAAAAAACATTTTTTCGTTTTGGATAGCATAGAGAAGTGTCACGTTTGTTTTGCTGTCTGTTCCTGTTGTTCAGAAGATTAGAATATAAATTTAAAAAAATGTTTTATTTAAAATGACACACCCAAAAAAGTTTTTTTAAATTTTATTTTATAAACTTTATTTTTATGTGTTTGCATTTAAAATTTTTATTTATTTAACTTTTAAAAAAAAGTTTTTGTCTTTTTAATTTTATTTTTGTATACACTTTTTATTTTATTGCTGAGAGCAATAGCCAGCCTGCTGTTGGATATTTCAAATTGCAGTAGCCAATAGCTGGCTGGCTATTGCATCTGCCCACTGCCTGCTGTCAATCAGCAGAGGAGGGGCCTGAAGGAGAAAGTTCTCCATCAGGTCCTCACATGCTGATTGACAGGAAGCAGTGAGCGGGTGCAATAGCCAGCTTGCTATTGGCTATTGCATTTTACAATATCCAATAGCGGGCTGGGTATGGGAAAGTCGGACGTCCGTAACCCGGGGACTCCCTGTACTTGCTGTTTGGCTCTGGTATTCATACTCTGCACCTGGCTGCACTGACAGCTTTACCTCTGTAGATTCTGCTACCTTCATCTTCTGAATCAACCTAAATCTGAGCTAAAAAAAGGAATACTAAGTGTTCTCTGGTATCTATAATGCACAGTCCCTGAGCCCAAACAGCCTCAATGACAAATATTGAAGTATGTGAGGGAAGTTGCGCAGAATGCGTTTTTCAACACATCGCTTTACAATACTTTTGGCTTTCTGTATTTTTAAGAAAACCCTAAAAACTGAGATAAATAGCTTCCACATCTAGCAAGAGGTAAAGTCCTGTCACAACACAGGGGCACAAGCTGGTGACATTGTGATCTTGTGACAGAACAATGTACGAGGAAACAACTATATTGTACACAGAAGTTTTCCTCTATTTTTCTGCTCTCAAGATAGCAGGCAATCAGCAAGAGAGAGATGAAGCCATCGGGAACAGAGGGATAATCCTGAGTGGCAGTGGATAATACCACATACAATTATCTGACCTGTAACTCACAGTGCAAAGTCTGGACTACAAGGACTCGCTCACATTCACACAGCAATCATTTCTTGCAGCAAAGAGCTTTTGTAACAGGTCTGAAGTTTCCCATTTACTCCATTACAAAGTCTAGCAACAAACGTTTAACACTCTGAACACCTCATTTAAAAAACAAGTTTTGTTTGTTTGTTACAGGTATTTATATAGCGCTGACAATTTTAAGCAGCGATTTACATAGTTGCACATTCACATCAGTCCCTGCCCTCAAGGAGCTTACAATCTAAACTTCCTATCTCACATGTGCACAGGGCCAATTTAGAGAGGAGCCAATTAACCTACCAGCATGTCTTTGGAGTGCGAGAGGAAACCGGAGTACCTGGATCAAAACCATGCAAGCACAGGGAGAACATGCAAACTCCTTGCAGATATTGACCTGGCTGTGATTCAAACCGGGCCCCCCAGTGCTGCAAGGCGGAAGTGCCAAAAAAACTGTAAACTTCTATAAAGCTTTGTGTAGTTTAATGCATTATAGTTGGGTAATGGTGCATTGTTTAAATACTGGAGCAAACAGGGAGCAGGATGGTAGCGCACAGCAACTAATTAAGTGTCATCGTAAAGGGTTAGCTCATCTCAAACTGATGTTGCAACCTAGGCAAATGGTAGAGAGTAAAAATCACCAAATAATATACCGTGTTTCCCCGAAAATAAGACACTGTCTAATATTTTTTTTGGCTCAAAAAAACACACTAGGTCTTATTTTCGGGGTAGGTCTTATTTTTTTTTTTTATGTACAACGCTCCGCACTTATTCATGTACACAAATATGGTGATCAGGGCAATCAGGGGTGCCGTACCTTTCCAAGAGCAATTTGCTAACCAATTGCTGGCCAGAATGGGCGAAGCGCACTTTCACCATTGATTCCTCACAAGCGGAGTGCATTTGGTATGACTCCGCCTGTGACAGGAGCCGGCGCTATAGAGGAGGTATCGGCTTATGCGGCTCTGCTCCCTCCATTGCCGCCTCACTTCCTCTAGCGCTGGCTTTGTTGGCATCGCTGATTCTCTACTGCCTCTCCCGCGGCTCTTTAAGTTCCCCCTTATGCCACCACCGGCCCTGGGAATGGTCACAACTAGGTCTTATTTTCGGGGTAGGTCTTATATTTTAGCAATTCCCAAAAATAGTACTAGGTCTTATTTTCGGGGTAGGTCTTATTTTCGGGGAAACAGGGTATTTCAGGGATGATTTTATTGAGATCCCTGTATGAAGGTCCGGGTCTACATACCAGCTGTCCGGATAATAAGAGGTCCCCACTCTTTATGCTGAACATTTTATCGCAGGGATAGTGCAGCAGGAGTTGCTGGAACACACAAAGGTGAGCAGGGAAACCCAAGACCTCCATGTCTACAAGAACAATTTTGGGAATTGAGGCTGGCACAGACTACTTGCCTCTGAATCCATCTATACCTCAAATATTATTTTGGACGGAATGAACCTTTAATTTGCCTGTATAATTGTGTACCACCCGGTTGTTCTGGTTAGTGAGAGTCTTAGATGCTCAGTTTGTAAATAATGCTTTGCGCAACATGGTACAACACATACGCACACTGACCATGGGCTGACAATTCAGTCCTCACTCTCCTCATCAGATTTCCTAAGTGAACCTTCTCTTTTCATTCATTTCACTGATGCCTATCTATTCGAAAAGCAGCCATTCCTTTCTAATCTGGATAGGAAAATTTGTGTGTGGAGTAGAAACCGAGATACAGACTTTGACAGTACACTCCTCTTCATTCCCTACTAGGATAGGCCAAGAAGACAGACTCTTGATTGACAGCCCCGATCTTTCTGTCGCTGTGCTTTCCGGTTACAAGCAAGGTTACAGGAATGCAGGAAGACAGGTCATGCTCTCACAGGAATCATCACAGGTGCTAAAACTGGAAGGGGAGCCTTGTTTTGTGTGCAGGAAAAGTGAGAGAAGAGCTGTCAATCAAGAGGGCATCTCCTTTGCAGAACATGGTTGGGAGGCATAGAAGCAACATACACTGTGGGAGTTGACTGAGCAACATACACTGTGGGAGGTGACTGAGCTATGAAACATAATACAAGGTAGGTCTTCTTTAACTGCTCACAGCATGCAATTGCTTACATTACTAGGCCTTTTTAAGCTCTAGGACCTGTGTAAAATCCTCTCCCTGGGGCAGTAAGCTGAAGATAATTTGTCTGCATTCTGCGTGAAAGCAGTGGTCTCCCTGCAGTGATCCAACAGGCCCCCCAGATTTGCTGCAAACAGCAAATTTAATGTCCCTGCTGACTGGAGAGCTTCAGCAGTTACTCTAAGGGAGGGGGATGCATGTCGGATCACTGCAGAGAGACCTCTGCTCACACACAGTTAGCAGTGGTCTTATCCGCAGCTTTGTGCCCAAATGAGATCATTTTAACCTGCCTCTGGAGCTCAAATAAAAACCTAATAAATTCAAGATATTTAAAAAGCTGCGAACTCCATCACATTATCTATAGTTATTTTGATTGAAAGTACAATTGATATTTAAACATACCTCGGCTTATATTCGGGACGGCTTATACTCGAGTATATACGGTAGGTCTACTTTAAGATGCAGTTTTGAGGTGACAACATTGAGGGAATTTATAAAAACGGGAGCAGACAGAGTCTGGAGCGGTTACCCATAATACACAATAATCAGTTCTCTCTTCAGTTTGTTAAGTTTAGCTTTGAAAATGAATGAGAGAAGCCGATTGGTTGCCATGGGTAACTGCTCCAGATTTTGTCTGCTCCAGTTTTTTTTGTTATATATTTATTAATTTTTCACACAAAAATCTACATTTCAGACATTTTACATGACTAACTAAACAATTAACATTAAAACACAAACTAACATAATCTCATAAATACCAACATTAGGACAAAAACATATAATATTGATTTAAATTCTTCTGACCTCTGTGTTTTTCCCACTAGTCGTAGCCCAGTCTATATCTGTATAGTGCTGGATTTTCTATTTTCTTCTTAGTATGAGTTATATATTACAATTTACTTTTATAATTAACTACCTATTATATTTAGTTTTAATTTTTCAAGTCTTTACAAATCAGTGAGTTAGTGTCTGTCGTAACTTACTGCTTTACGAGCCCAATATTCTGTGCACGTCACGTATTGTGACATAATACGAAAATGAGCATCTTATGCTAATCAGAATGTGATAAAGTGTATCTTTATATAAAATACTATAAAATTGAGTTCAGTGGTTTAGTATCATGGGTTAATCCCTACTCTATGAACCTAATATTCTGCTCCAGTTTTGATAAATGCCCCACATATTACAGACATGGAAGGTCTGCAATGCCTTATAAAAAATAAAGTATACAAAATATAATAATAATTTTGATAAACTAGTATGTTTTGTAATGTCTAAATACACAGAAACGCTCAGCAAAAATGCACATAATATTCAGCCTGGTGTGCATTTGCTAGTGAATGCCATTATCAACACCAACCATTATACAATGACAGCATCCATAAAATGATATGCTCCAGCCTGCCAGAAACAGAATTCATCTCATGGGTCAGAGAACTAAAAGAGCCATAAACCGTTTATTCTTTAGCAGAGATCTCTGTTGGAGTTTTGTATCAGGAGTTTCGTCATGCCGCAAATTATGTAAACACAATACAATGGGGTTATATAGCTTTTCATTTGCCAGATTCAAATCCAATGCATTTTGAGTAGTGCAATCTCACCTTCTTCACTGAAGAACTTCTCTACTGGGCCTACAAGCTGGTTAATTTCTTCCAACTCATCTTTGCTGATCTCTGGGTATGGAAACACTTCTTCCTGCCAAATAACATCGAAATGAGGGAATGCAGAAGTATGAATAATGACCCAAATACAATTATCTTATGTATAAATACAATGAAGAAGAAGTACTATAAAAGAACAAGTCTATAACTCGTACTAGATAATTATTTCTTTCACAAAACACTATCACGTCAGGCTTTTGTTTCAGGGACAGGAGGTTTTTTTTTTCCCCCAGACACAAGTTACAGAAAACCTGTACTGAGTGAAACATGTAAGTGATAACTAGTGAATTCTCCTTCAGATAACGCTAGTTGCCTGGCTTTAATTCAGTAACTTCAATACTTTAAGCGACCAACTGAAAACAAGTAAGCAAAAAATCAAAATGGGAAAGCCTGATCTGCAACACTAACCTAGGTCAGGGAATCAGCAAAAAGAATTAACATGACAGCCAAAGGAATAACATTCTCAAATGAAGAGTTCATAAATACCAGCCTTCATACTTCTCTGAGCAGGCTCTCTTTAAAAAGGAGAACTATGAGATGAGTGCTTTTCACTCACCTCATAGTTCTAGCCGACTTGTGACAATGAGGCTGTCACAGGTCGGCTGAGTAGATCGGGAGGTGAGCGAACACATAGCGGCGTTCGCTCACCTCCCAATCCTGTCACAGCTCTCTGCCGTGACAGGGGAGGGGCTGGATTCCTCCCTCCCCGCTCCGATCCGCCTGCGCTGACTGGCGGAACGGACGGGGGAGGGTACAGCTGGCTCTGCCTCTAGATAGGCAGAGCCAGCTGTCAGTCACGCAGCTGGGCGGATCCCAGCACAATTGTTGGGATCTGCTTCAGCTGCGGCATCTCAGTATACCGCGAGCTACAGCTAGTGGTATACTGAGCCTAGGGTGACAGGAGGACGCTAGTTTGTGTCCTCCCGTTACCCTAAGGAGAACTATGGGGAAAAGCCTTAACCCCATAGTTCTCCTTTAAGAACTTCACCCACCTGAGTGTAGCCCAACCAGTAACATACTTTCCTTTCTCCCGGAAACAGTGATGTTCGCTGTTTGTCACTGCCCGATGAGGCACAGACTTCGCAGACAGCCTCTGGTGAGTTCCTCTTCATACTGCACATGAGCACTATGGCCACATCCATTCCTATAGGATGGTCGCACTCATGGCAGCCTCTAGCATTCCTTTGGAGCGTAGTTGAGGTGGGGGGAATCAAAGGACAACTTCATCAAAAGGTCCCTACAACAGATTTTTCATTTTTTCATTTTAAAGGGGGTAATTTTAAAAAAATTCCTTCAGAATAAAATGGATGAGTCCAGTCAGTCAGGTGATAATGGAAGCAGATCCTTCCACTCAGTTGAGAAGGTGCAGGGGTTGTATTTACACAACCCACGCTTTTACAATCTCAAAATGTGTTTATGGATGTAAAGCTGGAGTAGTAGCTGCAGCAATATTGGTGAATGTTTTACATAGGAATTCCACACCCCTGAATGGTTATCGCCCGACGCCAAGGACAGGCAGTTTCGGGCGCCGGGCGAGTAGTTTTTTAATACATTTAGCCAGATTGTGTGTGTGCGTTGAGTCCTGCTGCCATTTCACTGTGCCGTATTGTGGTAGCGCGGCAGCAGAACTCTCTCACACACACAATAAAGGGTAAGTTCACTTTCCCAGGTAATACGGGAAAATGGAATTACCCGATCAAATCTGGCCCGATCTCTTCTACCCCCCCAGCTATAAACTTTCTGCAAACAGTCCTTACCCCGTACTGTCAAGCGCATTCCTGCCCTATGCATTTTGAATTTTACTGGCAAATTGCAAGCACTCATTGGTCAGCGTGGTCAAGTGATTGGCCGGGAAGCCAGCTCCTTGCCAATTGGCCGCCAATCAGCATCGAGCCTTCTTCCCGGCCAATCAGGTCATTACGTTGGCATGGAGCAGGCCTCCCAGCCATTCAGATCAAGCCGGCCAAACAACATGGAGTCGGCTTCCCTGGCAGTCAGGAAGCCGGGTAGCATCTCATTACCCGCTGCCTAGCTTCCTGATTGCCTGCGAAGCCTGCTCCATGCCAACGTATGCCAAAATATTGGTACTCGATACCCAAAAACTGGTATTGGTGCATCCCTAGTTTTAAACTTTTAAAACTTTTTTTGTTGTATTGGGACAAGTAGATTGTCATGAAGGACAAGTAGATTTGACCCCCGCTTTTGCCCTTGGACAAGTAGTTTTTTCAAACATTTCCACACCCCTGTCATTAATAATTTGTCTCTTATTAATCAAGGGAGAATTGAGCATCTTATAAAGATACCCTAACAGAAGGCACCCTTGGTACCAGGTATGTGTATGTTAAACAAGTTCCAGAGGAGAGCCACAGAATGACATGTCTTCAAGGTGGACTGGGAATGCCTGTGAATCTCCCTGGAACAGCATCATTTTATGGCTGTGTAAAGATAGGTTTAGGTTGCTCAGTCCGTTCCTCCATGACCCTCAAAAGGATAAGCAACAAGAAAATAATGAGACATTCAGAGAACCAGACAATTCTGAATTTCAGCTATCAAGTGTCTCCCTACAAAGATAAAAACACACCTTCCTATTTAGCTCACCCATACACAGGATCACAGGTCCTTACTGACATAGCAGAACAGCATGTTCCCACTTGCTTTTACTAAAGGAAAGGCCTAGAGTGATAGTAGGAGTGTGTCTGAGTATGAACAAATGTGCAGGGTCAGCAAGGATCAACACTTGCTAACCAGTGCCTTTTAATGCTTAAAGCAGAACAAGAAAAGAAGGTACAAATAAAAATGAATAGTACTTTAAAAGATAAAATGTAAAAAAAAACAGCTTTTGGAATATTCTGCAAAATTTACATTTATTCCAGTCCTGCAGCACAATTTCTGCCACTAGTTGTCCTCAGTCTGTATCATTCAACCCACTTCCTCTGAGCCCAGGCTATCCAGAACCCACCCGAGCCTGAGACTGGACAGTGAATGGAGAAGCAACAAAGTGATGAATTATTTCTCTGCCACTTTTTCTCCTCCTATCAGCAAGCTGCTCGTCAGCCTTTTAAATGATTGGCTTCTAGTCCTGCTTTTTCCTTTACACTTGAGCCCTGCCGACAGGGACTGCAAGAGCCAAGTTCCCAATAAAGGCCGGTGCACACCTGGGCGGTCTGTGACCACGCAGCAATCGCATAGGATACCTTACGGATTGCCGCGTGGTCACAGATCTCGCCCATCCCAGACGATTGCGCTGTGGGTATCATTATTTGCCGGTGGCACTCCAGTCGCACCAGGAGGTTCACGCTGTTTCCCGCCGCGATGCCGCCTGTGCATTCGGAAACAGCCGCGCGTTGCGTATCGCAAAAAAAAAAAAAAGGTACATGTACTTTTTTTTCTGCGATTGCTGCGCAGATCTACCCCATTAAAATCAATAGTGTCGCGCGGCAATCACTGTCTGCAATTGTGCACGACTGAGTCCCGGGATCGCTCAGGTCTGCACCGGGCCTGGTTCAAATTCAGATACTTATAGCACTGACCTGAAAAAACACATTTAATGATATAGAACCGATTACACAGCGACATTAATTTGTGTCTTTCATATCTGACTAGAATCCAGCATTAATAAAAGAAGACACATACGTCACTATAAAAAGTCTGAATACAACATTAAAATGCCTGCAATGTGAACTATACATGTAATAAAAGAAACCTCTACACCCTCAGCGACATCATATATGTGCTAGATGAAGGGATTTTTCTTTAGGTGGAAGAATAACATATAGAAGTAGAGAACTCCAGAGGACTAAACAATTAATAGAGAAGAAAAATCATGCCAGATTTGGTATGTGCTATTTATCAGCAGGCTCCATGTCCTTCAATGTGCAGAGTGAAACAATAACATGGATGGAATTTAGCTGCATCACTCCTAAAGGAGGCCATTCTTACCAAATGTATGGGGATCACCGTCACTGATCTCCTGAAGAAAACTGACAGGCATTCAATACATTACCAGGCTCTGAGCCAGAACAGCTATGCAAGACAGTTCGTAGATCGCCCAGAGGACAGAAAGTCAGTAAGCTTCAGAAATGTTCATAACACGGATAAGATATAGCTCCCAACTGTCCCTGATTTGGAAGGGCTGACCCTCTCTGGGAACCAAATCCCTCTGTCCTTCTTTCCTCAGTTGTCCCTCTTTTTGGTCTCATGTAAAGATATCCATGAAAATGTACAATTTAACTACCAAAAGTGTTATTCTGCACTAAAATCTGCATTGCATCTCTTATCTCGTTTACTATTTGAAAAAGCAAGTAAAAAGGAAAATTAATGGTTAAAAGAAAAATCAATTCTTGGTTTAACCAGTCCCTTTTGCCATATAAATGTCTGCATAACTGGGGGGCTTGGCAAGGGAAATGTCCATTGCCTAAATACATTGTGCTGGAAGGTGTCCCTCTTCCTCATCTTAGAAAGTTGGGAGATAAGGATAAGATACATAAAAATGCGACAGGGAGAGAGAATCCTTATAATTGCAGCAATTGGTTTAACCTTCAGGCCGTCTGCATCTGAAGTTCATATTAAGAAGTATATAATACATTTATATAACTTAATGTTATATGTGTACACCTGATAGTTGTCCTGTAAAACAATTCTAGGAATGTCAGAATTGCAAAGGCTGATCCTGCAAAGTTGCACGAGTATACAAAGTGGTTCACTATAGCTACCTGCATTTGTATCTAACTTGGCCAAAACCCAACTAGTGGGCCGCCTCTTGGGTCTACAGGTAGGTCGATGAATGCATCAAAGGAGTCTGGCAGGGCTAAATTACACTAGAGATTTTCTAATTGCTTAATGGAACCATATGAACTTTCTCAATGGCAAATGCCTCACTGTAGCACGTTGAAATCAATGACTTGCAAATAGGGGACTGTCAACAAGTGATTTATCCACATCCTTAAAGTGCAACTGAAGCTACAACTTTTTCTAAGTTTTGGATATAGGGGGGAAAGGGATTAGAAGGTTGTCAGGTTTTGTGTTTTTTTGCCG